AACGAAATAATTTAATTTCTATTCTTCTCATGGCACATTAAATTTCGATTCGAATATAATTTCATTACACGAAATTTTACATTGTACAATTTAATTTCAGTATACGAAGGCAGATTGGTAGCCGCCAAAATAAAGTGAGGTGAAAGGAACGGCGAGGTGCCCACATACCGAGCTCATCGGGCTCGCGCATTGCCTACCTCTCATGCGATTTATGTGAATGGTGATAGTGCAGGGGTGGTTAAGCCGAACCGACGGACAGGGCGATGTTGGGCATGTTGCCTACTCTTTCAGGCGTCTCATCTGGGCCCGATCGGGGAGAGAGAGGGGGGTTGGGGGACCTACACTCTAAAAAAAATTACAAAATTTTGTATCGTTTTTACGCAGTTATTAACATATCCCTATGATACAAATTTCTGTATCAAAAACGATAGACTCTTATAACATAATACAAAAATCTGTATGAAAATAACAGATTTTTGTATCCGTTATAAAAGTCTGTATCGTTTTTGATACAAAAATTTGGATCAAAGGATATGTTAATTACCGCGTAACAATTTACAGAATTCTATACTGATTTTTTTTAGAGTGTACAACTTTCTTCAAAAATCGTCCCTGTGATGCTGGAAAGGTGGGTGACCTGAAAGAGAGGGGTGTGGGGTGAAGCGCCTTGGTCAGCGACGATAGGTAAACACGCCTGCATTATCCCCACTTGCCTGTGACGCTGCGGGTGGGTTTGCGTCCTCTAGGGGGTCAAACCATGGGCAGAACTCCTAGAGTCCCACCCGAACTGAACTGATCAACCTCGCCCGCGGCGAAGGGGGCTGTTGGGTTGACGACTTGTGTGCTTCTCTGTCGCAGGCTTACACAGTACTACGAGTGTACTCCGTGCGTACTACGCTTGTGTTCAGCAAGCAGTGCATAAGCCTACCTAGCTTTACACCGGAAACCCAGGTGTGTGACTCTCGCACACTTGTAGGTGTGTAAACAACATTCGTACACTTGAAGGCACAACTGTGTAAATTTAAAAGGAAAATTCACATCATTTCTCCTGTAAGTGTACGAATGGGCTTTCGCACACCTACACACTAAACCCTTATGCATTACATTGTGCATAAGCTCTGCTCTATTTTAAGCAGCCATAGTTATGCACAAATTTTGTGCATACGTATGCTAAATAAGTCACTACAATGCACAATTTTGTGCATACCCATGCACGATTCGTGCATAGTTTATGTTATATTACTTGTGCATAACTATGGTTGCACAAAATTGTGCATATTATGAGCAATATAATGCACAAGGGTTTAGTGTGTAGAAGTCTGCGAAATTCACAGTTAGCTGCGTTTCCAGTCCAGTGATGTTGTACATAATAATTTTATGTGTACACGGTCACGTGACGTTCATCTGACACCTGGTCACATCTGCTGTTAAATATTGGAGGGTTTGCGGATCTTTGAATTGATTGGATTGGAGCGCAGACGAAACCATTGGTGCGGGAGAGGTAGCGGCCCTCGTGTGAGAGGTGCGCAGAGCTCCGGGCTGGTATCGCCTGGGCCAGAGACACCCCGAACGAGACTACTCCCTCCGCTGAGCGCGCGTCGGCTCGCCTGCAGCCTAGCCTCAGACGGGGTGGTTTCTGGCCGGGCCGGCTCCCAGGCGATACCAAAGCGCTGTGATTGGCTGCCGCTCGGCT